GAACTATCTATGTAGGATCAAACTGACAACAGCAACTCAAAAGATGAGCTAGGAACCTTAGGGGGAGTGAGTTTATGTTAACAGGAGGAACAACTCAGAAAAGGAGGGTGAGAATGACTGCACAACTTGAAGAATGTAATCAATGTCACTGAGCTGTATATGTAGAAACTGTTGAACTGGTGTACGTTTTCCTGTGTATATTCTCAACAACAGCAACAAAATAAATAAAATTTAAAAAAAATGTTTATGAGTATAAATGCAGAATTACAAAGAAGAATAAAGTAGGAAGATTCACACTTTTCATAGTATAAAGCCACAGTAATTAAAACATTCTGGTACTGGTATAATAATAGACATATAGATCAACAGAATATAATTGAGAACCCAGAAACAAATCCATACATCTACGTTCAACTGATTTTCAACAAGGGTGCCAAGTCCATTCAATAGGGAGGGAAAGAAGAGTTTCTTCAATAAATGGTGCTGGCAAAATCCAATTTCCACATGCAGAAGAATGAATGAGGATCCAAGCCTCACACCACACACAAAAATCAATTCAAAATGGATCAAGGACTTAAATGTAAAAACCAAAACAATAAAATTCTTAGAAGGAAATGTAGGAGTGTGGCTGCAGGGCCTAGTTTTTAATGATGGATTATCAGAATATGACAACAAAAGCAGGAACAGCAAAAGACAAAGTAAGTAAATGGGACCTCATAAAAATTAAACACTTCTGTTCATCAAAGGACTTTACCAACAAAGTGAAAAGACAACTTGAGAAATTGGGAGAAAATTTTCAGGAACCATATACCCAGTAAGGTCTAATATCCAAAATATATATAAAACTTTTACAGTTGAACAACAACAAGACAAATCGCCCAATCAAAAAATGGGCAAAGGACTCGAACAGACATTTCACTAAAGAGGAGACCCGAACGGCCAACGAGCGTATGAAACGATGTTCAATGTCATTAGCCATTGTTGTTGCTGTTGTTAGTTCCCATGGAGTCGGTCCCGAATCACGGCAAACCCACGTGTGCAGGGCAGAAATGCTCCAGATTGTCCGGCTTGTCTTCTGAGGCACCTATGGATGTGTTCAAACCGCCACCCTTTCAGCGAATGTGTACTCAAGCCTTAACTGGTTGCTGCTACCCAGGGAATCCATTAGGGAGATGCAAATCAAAACTACAATAAGATATCATCTCACTCCCATTAGAATGGCAGTGACCAAAAAAAACAAAACAGAAAACAACAGGGGTTGGCGAGGTTGTGGAGAAACTGGAACCCTCATCCATTGCTCATGGGAATGTAAAATGGTGCAGCCACCGTGGAAAACAGTTTAGAGGTTCCTCAAAAAGCTGAACATAGAACTACCATATGACCCAGCAATCCCAATCTTAGGTATACACCCAGAAGAAATAAAAGCAGGAATATAAAACAAATCTGTACACCAGTGTTCACTGAAGCATATTCACAAGAGCCAAAAGGTAGAAAACAACCTACCTGCCCATCAGCAGATGAACGGATGGACCAAATGTGGTGCATGCCTACAATGGAATACTACGCAGCCATAAAGAGAAAGGAAGTCCTGATCCATGCCACAACACGGATGAACCTTGAAAACACCATGCTGAGCGAAATAAGCCAGTCCCAAAAGGACAAATACCGTATGGTATCACTTACATTAAATAAGCAAATATGTAGAAACCAGATGTTATAGTGGTCACTAGGGGTGGAAGTTAGGAAAAAAGGGGAAGGTTTTGCTTAGGGGGCAGTGAGTTTATGTTGATGGCAGTGGAATAATTTGGAAAAGGACAGCGAGAATAGCTGCACAACATGAAGAATGTAATGTCATTGAAACACACATGTAGAAATTGTTGAATTGGTTAATGTTTTGTGTATATTTTCACCACAATTTTAAAAAAAAAGCAGGATTACAAATGCCACTGTCTTGTGGCACGTTTAGGCACTGTACAAATTACCTTTAAGAAGGTAAAAAAAAAAAAAACCTGCAGGACACACGACCAGCAGTGCACTGACGGGCTTCAGACGTGAAACCTGAACAAAATGTGCACGGACATTTTGGCTCTAGATGCGGTCATGCCCTCCCCCACCCAGCATTGCACCCAGAGACTATGCGGGCAAAGGGGGCCTAGGCCTGCATGACCAAGAAGTGGGTTGCCTGGGCTCCAATGGGTGCTCAGGGTGACCTCACACAAAGGTAATGTAGAAGGCACATGGGGCACAGGCTCTGCAGCACACCAGGGGTCCAGGGCTTGTTCGCAGTGATGGGGGAGCAGCAGCAGGCATGGTCACAGCATGAGGGGCGGAGCACGTGGGGCCCGAGGCTGGGAAGCTTTTCCCTAAGGGAAGGAAGGCCCGGGAGGGTACTGGACATGAGCCGACAATATCTGCTGTCAAAGGATCACCCCTGCTAGTGTGTGGAGGACAGACAGCAGCAGTTCAAGGGAACACAGGGGACCTCTGGCAACACCCCAGGGGCAGGAGGGGTGGCCGGGTGGCAGTGGTGGAGGTGGTGCAGAGCAGACTAGCCAGAGTCTGGTAAGCTGGCTGTGTGCTGGAGGAGAGAGTGGGGCCTCCAGAAGACATGCCAGAGGGATGGGGCAGGGCTGGCACAGGTCGGGGCAAAGAGAGGAGTGGAGTTTAGTTTTACACACGCAGCTCTGAGATGCCTGGGAGACACCCACGTGGCCAGGAAACACCAAGAAGGCAGAGAGCTTGAGTGCGGGCTCAGGGCAGTGGCCGTGGCAAGTGCAGAGCTATGGGACTATGCGTCTCCACGCTCGGAGGGGCCGTGGGCACTCTACAGTAAGGGGCCTGGCAGCACCACCCTGACCGAGTGGCCAAGGCCAGCTCCCCAGTGAGGGCACGTCGGGGGCCATGCGGGAGGTGAGGAGGACAGCCATCGCCTCTGTTCCCAGGGATACTCCTCAGGACACCTGGCCATCCTCCTCACAGCCATCACGGTGGTGACAGACCAGGGAAGACCACGTGGTGACCTGGGTGGGGTCCTGGGCCAGAGAAGGGCACTGTGGGAGAACGGGAAATCCAAACAAATTCTGGGCTTAGTTACCAGGACTGTGCCAGGGCTGGTGCCTTAGCTGTGACGAATGGACTGTGTACTGTGAGAGGAAGCATGAGTGAATCAGGAGCTGGGCGGGGTCTACAGGTACTCTCTGCACTGTGTGTGCAACTTCTCTGTAAATCTAAAATAATTCCAAAAATTAAAAGGTTATTTAAAAATAAATAAATAGCAAAGCCCACAAGAAAGTAACGGAAAGGCCCAGGAGCTAAACACAAAGAGGCAACTGACACTCTTGGGAAGAAGGGAGGGAGGACAGGTGAGCTGCAGTCACATAAAAGCTTGGGTGCAGGAGGCCGTGGCCTGGAATGAGGCCTAAACTCCCACATGGGACTGCACCTTCCCTGAGAGGAGTGCAGGGCCCACACAACCCCTAGAAGCAACCACCCAAACTACACAGGGTTTCCACAGATAAAATCCCTCTGAGGATAAACTCACAGTCCAAAATTACAGCACACACCTCACTCACCATGAGTAAAAGTCAACAGACACAATCAAGAGCAGGATCCAGCCCCAAGAACATCAGGAAGGAGAAATACTGAATTCAGACTATAAAGTAACTATATTTATAATGGTTGGAGACATAAAAGGTGGAATCTAAAACTCAAAAAAAGAACAAAACCCTATAAAAAAAGACCAAGCTGACTGATAAAAACCCTAATCGAGTGTATATTTTCCTCACAAAATAATAACGTGAAAGGCAGAGTATTATAAAGGAAACTAATTATAAAACAGCTGTCAAATATTAAAACAATTTATGATACAAATCAAACTTCTAGAGACAAAAATATAGTAACTGAAAGTAAAATCCCAATGGATAAATTAAACAGATTAATTCAGCTAAAAAGAGAAATAACAAACTAGAAGGGAAATATCTAGGTGGGAGTCCCGAGAGACAGAGACAGAAAACAGGAAAAATATTTTAAAAGACATGGAGGACAGAACGAGCTGGTGCAACCACTGCCTAACCAAAAGCCCCCAACTGCCCAAGAGCTGACAGGTGATCAAGTTCTAGAGCTGATAGCTGACCATGTTCTAGCACTGATGGACAGTCAAGTTCTAGAGCCGACAGGCGATCAAGTTCTAGAGCTGACGGCTGACCATGTTCTAGCACCGATGGACAGCCAAGTTCTAGAGCCGGCGGGCGATCAAGTTCTAGAGCTGATGGCTGACCATGTTCTAGCGCCGATGGATGGTCAAGTTCTAGAGCTGGCGGGCGATCAAGTTCTAGAGCTGATGGCTGACCATGTTCTAGCGCCGATGGACAGCCAAGTTCTAGAGCTGACGGGTGATCAGGTTCTAGAGCTGATGGCTGACCATGTTTCTAGCACTGATGGACAGTGAAGTTCTAGAGCTGGCGGGTGACCAAGTTCTAGAGCTGATGGCTGACCATGTTCTAGCACTCATGGACACCCAAGTTCTAGAGCTGGCGGGCGATCAAGTTCTAGAGCTGGCAGGCGATCAAGTTCTAGAGCTGGCAGGCAATCAAGTGCAGCAGCTGATGTCTGATCATGTTCTAGAGCTGATGACTGATGCAAAATCTGAGTTGAGAGGACAAATCCCTAACATTCAATAAAAACAAACTCACTAAAACAAGCTCACACAGCCCTAAAGACAGAGATCTGAAAAGCAATCAGTCAGAAAAGGCATTTTACCTGCAAAAGAAATACAAGCAATCAGACAGCAGAACTCTCAACAGTAGTAAGAGAAGCCAGGAGACAACAGAACAGCATCAGTGCACTGAGAGAAAAGAAACACGTGTGTGTTTAAAACCACTGGCAGAACAGACAAGATGTTAACAGTGTTACAATTGAGTGGTGGTATTTTGAGGAAGTTCACTTTATCATGCTTGTCTCTAAGAGTGAAATAAACACAAGCGAAAGAGCGTCTCCCTTACCTGCCTCCGCTCCCTGCGCGTCAGGGTGTGGCCGTGCAGGATCTGCCATAGCATGCGTGCCGCAATCTTGGTGTCGATCCAGAGCAGGCGGAAGCCATGGTAGTAGTGCTTCAGCTCATCCAGGACTTTCTGCCCGATGGACTTCCTCACTGGTACCTCCACAGGGGGACTGTACACAGGGCCGCCCTCCTCGAGCTTCTTGTTCTTGTCCTTCAAGGACTTGAGGGACTTCTCCACGATGGAGTCGTCCCACAGGGGGTGTGATGAATGCCAGCAGCGCACAGGAAGGGACCATGGCCCTGTGAAAACCAGACCTGCCGAGACTGGGGCCCATGGCGCCCTTGCCCCTGCGCATGAGCGCTCCGGCCTCAGAGTCCAACAGCTGAAATGAACACTCTTGAGGGAGATGAAGACAGGATGGACGGGAGGACAGCATCCACATTTAACATTCCTTTGAGGAGGAAAACAGGGAAAGAGCAATGAGAGTCCAGTCATGTTCTCTGAACTCTGAACACTACACATCAACAAGAGCAAGAGACCAAGATCACATGCCAGGCCTCATCACACAACACGTGTGTCACAGTGGCTGAGTGTCGGAAGGTATGTTCTCACAGGCTGGGGCCCTGCCGTGCACCTGGGCAAGATTTAGCATTCTGCGGTCGGCATCACCCCCTCCCATCAGTCGCTGATCAAATGTCTCTAACAGGTTTGCCCAGCAGGTGGCCCTCCAAAGCCATCTCCTCTGAATTAAAACCGATCATCCAGCTCCTGAATGTGCACCCTAGGGAGCAGCGACAGGCTGAGCCATATACACATCCTGCAGAGGCTCATGGCAGGAAACCAAAAAAAGAAAAAACAAACCCACTGCCGTCTAGTCAATTCCGACTCATAACAACCCTATAGGACAGAGTAGAACTGCCCCACAGGGTTTCCAAGGAGCGCCTGGTGGATTCCAACTGCCAACATTTTGGTTAGCAGCCGTAGCTCCTAACCACTGCGCCACCAGGGTTTCCCATGGCAGGAAAGTCGGTCAGAATCCAGCACCCACAGGCTGGAACTGTATGTTCCATCTCCATTCCAGCCACTTGGTTCACTAAGAAGCAAAGCCTCTATTCTCTGCCATGAGCCAACAAACCGCAGGGCCCACACTGCACACTGGAAACGCTGACCCAGAGGAAGCGGGGTGAGCAGGGATGAGTCCAGAAACCCAGCCCCGAACTCCAGGCCCGAGAGCAAGTGCATCCTACTCAGGCCGTCTCCCTGTGACAGTGACAGTGCCTCTCTTCTGAACCCACTTCATGCCAATTAACTGTCTGTAAGCAACAACTTCACAGTTCCTTTGTAAAAACAATCCACATTCTCAGAGAGAACCAAAACGACAAGATTTCCTGAAAGGAAATACAGTAATAGCTCTATAAATAAAGACAACATTAATGAGAAACTTCCTTGCCAGGAAATTTATAACCAGAAGGGGGGAAAAAAAAAAAAAACACAGGAACGAGGCCCACCTCGGACTCTGCAACTGTGGGGCCATCAGGGGGAAACCGCCCCTTCCGATGAGGCTCACTGCCGCCCAGGACGCACCAAAGGTCCCCAGATGCCTACTCTGACGGTACGCAGCTCTTCAACTTCTTAAGATGCTAGCCACGCCCACTAACAGGCAGAGCGGGTCTGCACCCAGCAGCTCCCACCCTGGCTCTGCCCACACTGGACAGGCCCTTGGGTTGGCTGTCCTCAGCCCCTCCTGCAAAGGGCACCTTCAGGTTGCAAGGTGACGACATGGGGAAGCCGCCGACTGGGCCTAGGGCAGGGTGGGAGTCTAAGTCAGCGGTCACTGTCTTGGGGCACACCACCCACCCACCCGCCCCAGTCAGTGTTAAAGCAGACTTATCATCAAGGCAGCAGGACAGGCCAAGGGCCAGAGTCTGAGACAGAGCCATTGCCCGCTTCCAGTGCTCGAAAACACATCACAGTTTGACATTAAAACTTCAAAACTGAATGGCCTGGCGTGCAAGACAGGGGGTCAAATCGGCCTCTGAGGACACAAAGTGCGGCCCCTGCATTGGCCCCAGCCCTGGGCAGGCTCACTCCATGGAGGTTTGCTACATGGCTCTGGGGTGCTTTAGGAGTGGGGTAGGGAGCAGGGACTTTGTTGTTTGGATCTGGAGGTCCCCTTCCCTAACAGGTGACCTTCTATAAAGATCTGTGACCCATGAGGCAGTCCTGAAAATCAGCAAAGATGCCTGAATCGACCGTGACTCATACACCTACACAGAGCTAACAAAGGTGTTCCGTGCAAACTGGCAAAAATCAAACGAATACAACCCAAAGCCCACCTCCTCTCTCATCCTTGGCCTCTCTCTGCTAGGGTACTGGCTCTCTGGCAATGCCCTTGCCCACAGGCTCTGGGCTACTCCCAGCCTAGACACCCCACACACAGTGCTTCTCCCCTCAATCCACTCAGGCCACCTGGCTACCCGGCCACCCCACCACACCTGTCCTCCTACCCACAGCGCTCGAGGTCTCACTGTGGCCATCACACCCATCTCCCCACTGAAACAGGGACTCTGTGAGGGCCAGAGCAGGAAGAGAGGGAGTGGGCCCAACCATGCGAGGCCGACTCCACGAGGCCCTGACCGTGCGTGCCCGACCGTATGAGGCCCCAACTGTGCAAGGCCCAGGGAAAGTGGAGGACTGAGCTGCCTCAGAGAGCAGAGCGGAGCTGCTAGGGCTTCTCACTAGGTCAAGAGCACGACGCTTTCCCCATCCTAGCTGGTCACCACTGAGCTCGACATAGCATGTTCTGTTAGCTATGCGCTCTCAGGGACACCTTGAAGGAATTAACATTTTAGCTTTGACTTGCTAGAATGGACATCTGGGTAGAACCAAACTTTCCCATCATTTCATTCAATTAATAGAAAGACCACACAAAACAGAAATTTAGAAACCATAGTCTGAACTCATCCCTTATGCTCTGCTCTCTAACGGGGCAAACATCACCGGCCAGGGTTGATGAAAGCCATTTCTTCATAGTTAGAGTTGCTTTCTCCCAGGCCAGGTCCACAGGGCTGCCTGGACACAGGGTCCGTGGAGCAGCCCACCCACTCCTCCCAGGCAGCTGCCCACTCGGTGCCACCAGCAAAATGTCAGGGCTAGGAGCGCCCACCTGAGCATCCAAGCTCCTGGAGGCCGGGCCACGCCCTCTGCCTGAGTTTGTGCGCAGAGCAGACACCCTCATCTGACTACCACAAAACAACACGAAGCCATTCACAATCTCTTAAAACAACGTCCCTATACAATCCTTTTTCATTTTCACAATCTCTTACTGATCTCACCTGTCACATTAGAGCTCCCTCCCACTCCCATTTAAGCAGGAACTTATCCATGGGGGGTCATGGGTCCAAATGATGTCAGAGGCAGGCCGAGGATAACTGGCACGGCCCAGCCTCCGCTCGCCTGCCCAGCCATTCTGCATGTGGCTGACACGCAGTGGCAGAGGCTGAACTTTGAGCTAGACTGTCAGGTTCAAAGTTCAGCTCCACTGCTTATTTGCTGTGTGACCTTGGACAAGTAACTTGACCTCTCTGTGCTTCAGCAGCTTCCTTTGTAGGTTGGGAGTGATAATATTACCTACCTTATAGGACTGTTGTAAATACTAAATTAGTTAATATATGTGAAGTACTCAGAACAGTGTCCAGCATATGGTAACACCACAGAAATGGTAGCTATTATTACTGTCACATCAAAGCAGCCAAGAAGATGCCACTCAGGGCTGGAAGAACGCCACTCGCTTTACAGACTGGGAATACTGAATGACAATAGGGACGTGCTGCCTGGGCATCCAGCCTATAGCTGGGCAAGTAAGCTGGTGCAGGGCGAGGCCAGCCTGGAGGGGCCAGAGTGTGGAACATGGGAGAAGCCTGGGATCAGCTCTGGCACCCATCACTGGCTGTGGACTCCCCCATCAAACACACCCTTCCCAAAGCAACTCTCTCAGACTCGAATTCTTCCCTCCACTACAGAACCGCAAACCCGACAGACTCACAGAAACCCATAAAAAGTGTCTGTGGACACGAGGGGTGCCAGTGTGGGCTGAGTGAGGAGAGCAGGGGTGGCGTAGTGCACCCCCTCCATGAGCTGGTGCATCACCTGATCTGCCACAGGGTTTGTCTCCCCCAGCAGCTGCCATCTCAGGGTGCCCAGGCCTTGGAAGGGCTGGTTGAGGGCTCTCTCCAAGACAACACCACGCCCCCAAGTCCCCTTGCCTTTAGCGGGTGTGGCAGAGACGTCTACATTGGCCAGCAAGGGGCTCACAGGTGAGATGGCAGCTCCTGCTGAGCAAGGCAGGCCCACTCCTCACTGGCCACCCCCCGCCCCAGCGCAGTCCTGCCTCAGAAGCCCTTGCCCGCCACTCTCGCATGGACAGGAAGGAGGCCAGCGCTGCCGTACCCCTTGGCTCCTCTCGGCCCTGCTCACGGATGTTCAGCAGACTCCTACAGGCTCACCTGGCTGCTCCGCCACTTGCCAGCCACGAGGCTCTGGCCACACTTGGCACCCTCTGTGCCTTAGCATCACTTGAAGTGTGGAGGTGACAGTGTCCACACACAGGAACATGTGACAAACGGGACCTCCCATCATCACCAAGTTTACTCACCCCATGCTCCAACCCTCAAGGATCCCTGGTGGCACAGTGGTTAAGCACTTGGCCTCTAACCAAAAGGTTGGCGGTTCGAACCCACCAGCCGCTCCATGGGAGAAAGATGTGGCAGCCTGCTTCTGTAAAGATTACAGCCTTGGAAACCCTGTGGAGCAGTTCCACTCTGTCCTATAGGGTCGCTGTGAATCGGAATCAACTCGATAGCAGTGGGTTTGTTTTATTTTTTGGTTTGGTTCCGACCGTCGATCAGCAAGGAGGCTAGTGGCTTCCATGAGAAGGCCTGGTATCAGCGTCGCAAGAGGCAACTGGCTGCAGGCCAAGAAGAGAAAGGCCACCTTAAAGCCGTGAGCAGAGCACCCCGGCCGCACTGCAGGCCTGGCTGTCGCCCAGCACATGCAAGAAGTTATTACCACCAGTGATATGCATAGAGGAAGCCAGAAAAGGCTTAGCTATTTTCAAGAAGCATAAAATTACATGACATATTTTTAAAATTTCCATCCAAACAAAACTAGCCTGGGTACTGCTGGCTTCCTTGAGCAGGCTCAGGACAGACAGAAGGCATTGCCGAGGAAGGCCAGCACCCACACTGTGCCACTGCTGAGAGGCACCGCCCGCCTCACCTGGACAGGATGGGGGCCAGTCGCCCACCAGCCCGTCACCAGACATCTCCAGCTTTCTGTCTCTGTCTTTCTTTCTGTAAATCACCTCCACAGTTGGGGGAACAGTCTGGGAGAACGCAATGTCTCAACAGTAAATACATGACCATCTAAGGGAGGCCAATTCATTCACATTTA